GCCTGGTGTAGACTCAGTTGATCATATTCTATCTACTCCATCAGTACTTATGACAGCTTTCAATAAATTAAATTGTATAGTCAGTCAACATCCAAAGTAAAGAGAAAAATATCCTACAGGTAATTCTTGCTGAACTATACAAAAAACTGTACTATTTTTTGAAGTAGATGGTATGAAGATAGGGTTTTAACTTTTGCTTAGGTACTCTGCATGTCCAAATTAATTTCCAATTTCAATTGTTATACTGCATCAGTAAACAGGTGTGTAGCATCTGAAAATTAGTCATAGGGGAGTCTCTGGCTAGTGTAAAAACTAATGGGCATGCTTGACAAGTTGAAGGAAAGAAATTGTTCTTAAGCAGCAAAATACACACAAAATTATCTTTTCAGTGACTTTCTAATTCCTCTAACTGAAAAGTTTGGTTCCCATTCTCTTTCTGTGTTTTCACAATTCAGTGATATCCTGTAGTGGCAAAGAGAGTAAATGCAGCGGAAGTGGAGTAGATGCAGAACAACCTATACAAGAATGTCTCCTAAGCCCCTACTGGTGTGGATCAGTGGGTTGGATGTCATCGCACAAAGGAAAGGATTGCTGGGTTCTGTTCCCAGTCAGGGCACATGCCTAGGTCGTGGGTTCAGAAGCAACTGATTGATATTTTTCTCCCTTTCTCTCTCCCTCTCTTCCCTTCTCTCTAAAAAATGAATAAGTATTTTTTAAAAAGAAAAAAAAAGAATGTCTTCTGAGCTAGGAATTTCTAAACTTCTATAGTAGTCACTATTTACAGATGGATTTAAAATTTGTGAATTTTTAAATTTTTTAATTTTATTTTATTTATTTGTTTTTGGAGAGAGGGAAGGGGAAGGAGAAAGAGAGGAAGAGAAACATCAATATGTGGTTGCCTCTCACATGCCTTGTACTGGGGACCTGGCCCACAACCCAGGTATGTGCCCTGACTGGGAATTGATCCGACCACCCTTTGGTTTGCAGGTCTGCACTCAATCCTCTGAGCTATACCAGCCAGGGCTAAGAATTTGTGAAATATAGTAAGGTGGGAACCATTCAAAGTTTTCTATAAAGGCACAGTCTTGTAATAATGAAGCTATCTTATTTGACCAAAATGAGAAAATTCTTATTTAACATTCACCAAAATATGTTTGTAGAAAAAGCTTATTTTTGATTGTTTATATCAACTTCATTCAAAAGATTCCAAAATAAAACACAGCAACTATCACTTGAAATTCTCTAGAACTGCATATGAGATCATCTATATACGTTATAGAAAATGTTGTAAATGCAGAAAATCACAAAGGATAATAAACACCCGATACCCAGAGTTGAGGTTTATCAACATTATTGTATTTGCTTTATTTGATTTGAATAAGATAACACCTCATAAAAAATTTTAAATCATTTCAATTTCTAAATTGCCAGTCCACTAAAACAAAGCTCTACAAGCACTGAATTGTTTTATTTTCTAGTAAGTAGAAGGCATTCAATAAAAGCATGTCTTCTGCTCTGTCTTTTCACAGGTTTAAGAATTGAGTATATATTTTTTTAGTATCTTTTGAGATACCTTTACAAATAGTTGAAGGTATTAATGAACAACGTATAAGTATTTGGTGTCTAGGAGTAAAATTTACATAGACATTGTACAAAAATACCATTTTGTATTCAGCCTTTTTCACTCAGTGCACTGTCAGCCAGAATTCTGTAAGCATAGAGGAGCCTCGACATATTCCTAACATGGAGAAATGCCAGGCTAACACGGTAATAGAATTCCATTGTCAGTATCTTCCAAATTCCTAGTTAGAATATTATAATCAATTTTTACAAGACTCTAGAGCATATAAGCTCAGACTGTTTGGTATAGTTCTGGTTTTTAAAGTTTTATATAAAACATAGCTCTGAAGGATGTAAAGTAACCGAATTAAGGAAATAAAAGAGGAAACAAAAACTTGTCAATCTAAAAAAGATAAAGTATTGGTAATGACAATTATATATGCATTACAGGATAAAGTAAATGAATAATTACTAGCTGACATTGGGAACTTAGATTTTGGCATGGGAAGAAGTAGAGATAAGAAGTTAATTAAGTAAAAACTCTCCAGTCATAAGTATGAATTGGAAGTATCCAACTCTAGATATGTTTCTTTATATTTTTTAAAGGTTTTATTTATGTATTTTTAGAGAGAGGGGAAGGGAAAGAGAAAGAAAGGTAGAGAAACATCAATGTGTGGTTGCTTTCACGTGCCCCTACTGGGGACCTGCCCACAACCCAGGCATGTGCCCTGACTGGGAATCACAATGGTGACCCTTTGGTTCGCAGGCCTGAGCTCAATCCACTGTTCTATACCAGCCAGGACTGTTCCTTTAAAAATGGCCTTTGAATGTCCAAGAAATAAGAGCTGACTTAGCACCAACACCCATTCCCAGTACTCAGATAGTGATTTCTAAATAATATTTCCCCTCTCCCAAAGGAACTAGGGCTCCTTAGGGAAATGGCTAATTCCATTTCTGGACAAGGAATGTACAATATGCCTGGCCTGGAACATCTTGTCATCTCCCTGGGAGAACCAAGCAATGAGAACTAGTCAGTGAATGTGAAGAGGATTCAGGAGGCAACTTGAAAAAACTCCCACTGGACAAAGATGGACTACTTTAGCATCCAAAAGAGTAATAGCAATGAACTGAAATATACCAAAACCAAATTCATTTCAAAATCATTGACACATAAAGTATATGTATAGTATTGAGTACACTAACTCAATCCATGAGTTAATAATAATAGTTAAAAAGGAAACAGTTATTATTTACATGTTAGGTAATCAAATACTTTTTTCTGAAATGGCTACATACTATGTAGTCAAAGAATCAAGCATTTATCCTGCCTTTGCTGTAATAACTATGTATACTTCAGGAAAACCGAAGAGTTGAGTTGATAAAGGCAAGCTTTTACTTACAGAAAGTCAAATATTTAACCATAATCAACCTTCTAGATCTAACTACCAACTAATAAGGAATATAGAGGACAGAAAAATGCAGCCAGTGAACTCCAGTCTGGGGGGAAAGTCTAAGGGGCAAATGATCTTCAAAGGATGGACAGGGGGTGGGGGGAGGCACACCTGGGGAAATATGGCACTAAAAATAAATAATTATTACTAATTTGGTGATATAACGATACTGTGGTCAGTTTTTAAAAAATTAGTACTTAACTTATAGAAATTGTATTATTTTATTCAGACATATTTATATGATAGACAAGAATACAAGACAAACTTGTATTCTTTCCAAATAATTTGGGGTAAAGGAGAAGCTGGTAAGGATATAGATGAAAGAAGAGTAACCCAGTGTTGACAATTATTTAAGCAGGTTAAGGAAAGCATAGGGGTCCTTGTACTCTTTTCTCTACTTAAAGTTTTAGAAAAAGTGTTAAAGTTTTAGAAAAAGGTGATAAAGGCTCAGGGATGTTGAAAACTGTAAAATGCTGAAAGACGTCATTAGGATACAGATACTTTCCACAAATATCAAAATCCTTTTGGTGAGGCATACTCTGTGAACCTTGCATGTAAATAAAAATAAAAATGCTATTTTGGGTTAGAGAATCATGCCCTGACACAGACTGAAATCGAAGAAGTCTTTAGACAGATCCACATCCTAAGTACCTCAAACACAGCGACTCACGAAATGCACCAAGATGAGCATATTTCGTAGCAGCAAGTGAATGACTAATTAGATGTAGGGAACGAACGTAACAGGAATGTACAGACCAGTGGAGTTTGTGAAAACCCTCTTCTTGATTATTTGTATTAAGACAGAGTGACTAATGAGGTTTTTAATGATACCATCATTTCTGCTTAGTGGTAGAACAGTTAACATGCAATATGAAAAATAAAAATAAAATCATAAATATTAAAATGAATAGCTTTTTATTTTGTGTATATTTACATCTACTCCTCCCACTCCTGAAGCCTAATCATAAACTTGCTGGTTTTGCCGAGCAAAACACCAACAGAACAGGTGCCTGTGTTAGTGCTGTAGGTGAATTCTGGCAATTTTTTGGACACCAGCTGTGTGCTAATTAGTCTTGCGATTGCCTAAATCACCGAATATTACATAATGCTTCTTCAGGCTTCCAGGAATGAGTCTGGATGTTGGCTGGCAGACGCCCTTGGGGAGACCATGCCTGGTCCTAACAGCTGCCATGATGAGCTCCACCAGATACAAAGAACTGGCTGCATAAACACATGCCTGAGAGTCACCTCAGGTAACGCGGTGGAGGGTGCTTTGGGGGATGCAGACACAAACATTCTCTGGTCTAATGATAATGAGGCGCATGACCAGGGTCTGGTTATGATTGAATACCCTTTTTTTTTAAATACTCACCTGCGGACATGCTTATTGAGTTTTAGAGAGAGAAGAAAGGAGGAAGAGAGCGAGGGAGAGAAAGATCAGTGTGTTAATCGGGTTGCCTCTCCCACATATCCCAATCGAGGACCGAACCCGCAACCTAGGTATGTGCTCTGAACAGGAATCCAAACCGCAACCTTTCTGTCTATTGGATGACACTCCCATCAAGTGAGCCACACTGGCCAGGGCCAAGTGCCATTTTTTTGATTAATTATTAGTAACAGCATAACATTCAAACCCTATGCTCTACTATAGACTTCAACAGTGTGGTTTTCCATTTAGCCACTCATCTAGATTTATGCAACAAAAACAAAACGGACACACTATTTCTAGTCTTAAGAGATAAACTGGAAATCCGATTACTACAGGAACAGTTTGGACAAGATGGCCAGAGAACTTCTAAAATAAGAGCTTGGTTAGAGTGTGGGAAATCTGGTTGCAATGAAGGGTTTCTCTCTGGACATGGCTTTATGTCCTCATTCTAGGCAATAACCAAAAATATGAGACATAAAATAAAAACGCTTAATTGTTGCTTCTCTCAACCAAGTCTGATGAAATGGATGCATTTCAATAGCAACGTGAAAAACACCTACCTGAAGACTGCGAGGGTCAGAGACCAGAGCACTAAAGGCTTCCTCAGTTCAAACTTCGCCCGCTTGTTCATCACGTGCCGACCACCAAAGATAAAGGCAGCGTACAGAGCAGAAAACAGGAAAGATTTCTTCCTGTGAACAAACAAAATGCCAAAATCTTATAAAATAAAAGTCTAAGCAATTTATTTTTATCCATTAAAATTTCTATTTAGTCACTGTTCATCAACTTTTATACCAGTCCCTTCTTTGTAAACACTGAAAATGTTTTCTTGGGAACATGCCCCTTCACTAAAGAGACAACTTTTAGTCCATTTGGCAACAAGGTGCTCTTGAATCCTCTCTTAGGGAAGAACACAGAACCACCAAAAGTATACTTGCCTAAAGCTTTAGGCTTGAATCTAACCAAATGTCTGATTTTACTACCTATTTATAGGAAATACAGGGGATAAATCCAAATGGTGGGACATTCTGTAGGGCCACTGAACTTATTCTTTATCAGATCAGTAGTACGAAGCCCAAATCTGAGACTATTGTAAAGTAAAAGTGACTTGAGATAAGTAACAATCAGATATAATACCTAGAAGCTTTTTTGGATCCTTATTTGAAAAAGACATTTTTAATAAAACCAGCAAGTTGTCACTCATAATTTTAAAAGTACTTCATTAATATTTATGGGTGAAATTATGTCTTGAGTTTGCTTTAAAATTCCCAGGAAACAAACAGAACCAAAACGATATTAAAGGTGGGGAGATGAAACAAGATTAACAAAAGGCACGATAGGACATGGGGGCTCATTATTCTCTCTTTTTGGCAATCAGGTTTATGGGGACTCTTAGTCGGCAATGGCTAAGGAACACCAAATAGAATGTCCAGGTTCTGCTGGCTCACTACTGTGCCAAGAAGAAGTGTACAATAGTGTTGATAATGCCAAAAAGAACAAAATCTTTTATAGACAATTAATTCAACAAAAAGTAACAGAGGCGTTGTAAATAATTTAACCATCTGAACATACTTCCTGAAGAAGCAATGTTTCCCTTAAAATGGGTATTCCCCACTTGATTAGATTAAAACGAAAGGGTTGAAAGTTACAAGGCATAATACAAATAGCAAAATGCATTAACCTGAAAAGCATTATTTGTCAAATGTTTCATTTTTTCCCTTAATCACTGACATGTACTGCTGACTCATGAGGGATCTTATTATTTACCCAAGCAACGCTCCCAACTCAATGAGAGCAAGTGACCTACTTGGTGAGCACCACCAAATGAAGCGAGTGATGCCAGAAATCAAAATCATACAGAAGGGTGGGACAAATCACTTCCACTGAGGTTTGCAAACTCTCTCTCGGAAACACAAGACTTGGTACACAGGAGTGCTTATTAAATATTTGTTGAGTGATCACAGTCTTGGCATATCAAATTTTCTCACAAGGAAAATAACTCCATACACGGCTGCTCAGCAAACACTAAGTAAGTTTACAATTGTACTTTCTTGGTAATACATTAATAACTAAAGGATAAAAGAGTTAGAAAAAAAACCATACGATCCATTTTTTTCCTCCAGAAAGAAAAAGACTATTTCTATAGTTCACACAGAAGCGTAAAAGTGGGACAAATTTATGGCAACTTCACTATCGAACATTTCGAGAAGAAGGTACTTTAGGCCATAAATATATTTATCATTTCACTTCTTTGGATCTTGCAGGTGTACAGCATTACTTTTAGAGTCAGAATGTGCATTTACACTCAGATAGGACTCACTAAAGAAAAACGAAATTCTATCAAGTTAATGTAAGCAATATAATATCAAATAGTAGATATTCTTTTTAACATAAGTAATGATAAGTGAAAATAAGCATAGTATTATGATTTAGGAAGTGATTCCTATAAGTAAAAACAGCGCTTAAGAGCTTTCTCATTTAATCTTTCTAATCATCCCTAATGCAGGTAGTGTCATCATCATTTCATGGCCAAGGAACCAGGCTTAGAGGTTAAGTAACTTCAGATCTCCCCACTTTCCTGTGGTCAACTCTCAGGGACAGGGAAGGAAGGATGTGCCTGATGTGCTTGCTCTCTTATGTGCATATACGAGTTCCTTAAGCCTTCTTACTGAATTCCGTGATCATCGTGTAACTGTGTAGTACCCTGTTCAACTGTGAGAAAAGTAAGAGGCATCTCCACACACTTATGTTTCCACATGCTGGGCATGGAACACTTTGATCCAACCCCCCTTTCCTTCCCAGAGAACAAATTATTGCTTGTTCAATCTAATCTAAGTTTTGGTTTTGGTTAGATTGTGTTACTTGAAATTATGAATCAAGTTAAATGAGTGCCTTTATATCATACTCCCATTCTAGCCATTAAGGGGAAAATGATGTGCCTCGAACAACCAAGAAAAGACTAAAAATCTTCCCTCTGTATTTTTTTGTCTCATTTCTTCAGTTCTAGAACGAGAACTAGTCCTAATGTAGTGCTAACTTCCTGGCAAGGACCGTTCTTCTTTTCACATGTTTTTAAAAGATTCTTCACAAACCTTCAATTCCACAGCCAGGATAATCAAGTGAATCAATGTAGACACACAGAATTTGAGAATTGCAGGGGACCTTAGATGGAGCTCAATTTCCTTGTTCTACAGAAGAGGGAACTGGGGGCCAGCGAGGGTGCTGATGATATTGGTAGCTCATGGTCACAGAGCTGCATACTGAATATTGGTCACAGCTACCAAAAATCAACATGCATTAACTGTCTAGGCTATCCATATCTGGGTCATAGGTAGTCAATAATGTGAACTGATATGCTATAATAAAAATGTTGCATACTATATACTATATAAATCTTATGTGATAAAATTCAAATACTGCTTTGGGTTAATTTAGAATTAAGCTTAGCCTTCTTCTACAACAGGGAATCATCTTAACGAAGTATTAACTCTTACCTCCTCAACTGAGTAATCAAAATATATATCATTTATAGTTGAATGTATTATGATTTTTCCAGTTCGCTTAGAAGAAAGTAAAATTTTCTTCAGCAAGCTGGGTTGGGTGAATTAAAATTGCCTTTAGGTCCTGACATCTGGTAAAGGTTCAATTATAGTCAAAACAAATAATGACTTGCTGCTTACCCACTTACTATTTAATGTCGATCAGCGATTTTCAACATTTCACATCTCATGGCACACACAAACTAATTACTAAACCGTCATGGCACACCAAAAATATATTTCTTGCTGATTTGACAAAAAAAGGTATCATTTTCATTCATTCACCAGACGGCTGTTGTGCTTGCTGTTGTCATTTTATTTTTAATTTGACAGTCTAAGGGAAAAGAGGTCAGTTTCCCTGACTAAATAGTCAGGTACCGCATGTTTTAAAAATTCTTGCAGCTCACTGCTGTAGATAAATGACTTCCCTAATGTTTCAATGGTAATGCAGTAATACTTCAGATTCTGGCCAGCCTTCATCGCTTGGTACAATGTGACACTACATTGTTTTATTACCAGATAACTAGCAACTTCTAGATGGCATGGACTCTTCTTCTTTAATAAATCTTAAATGTACACTACATAGCATGACTCTTGGCTGTAGGTGCTTTTTCAATACTTCTCAGGATGGCAACTCTGTAGCTAAAATTGCGAGGTGATCGACTGACCAAACAAAGAGTGCCCAGATGGGGTACTGATGTGCTGTACGTGTATTCACCATCTTCTCCTTCCATTGCTGTCATCAACATGAATGATGGGAATTGCTCCATAATTAATAAAACCAAATAATAGCTTTATCCTTAGAAACTCAGAGTTCTCCATTATGCTACCTTGTTCCAAAACATTCCTCAGGTATTTTTCCTATTCTTACCAGAGTAGCTACTCAATATTTGTATTTATTGTCCAATTGAATACCACTCTCAAAGAGCATGTATATGTTCAAATGCTTTTTTTTTTTCAATTTCTGGGATTCAACTGAAACTAGTACTTAGCTTCTGTCTCTTTAACATTTACATCAAGATCCCTGTCAGCAGACTTGCTCTCCTTGAAGAGTCAAACAAGTTTATTTGAGAATGGCGAAACTTTCATGTGGGTAGCATTTCAAAAGAGGATAATTGCTAATGAGCACCTTCAAGAGGTGGCCTTAGCTCCTTTATGTCTGAGTAAACTTGTTTTGTGGCTACAGTACATGTGTAAGGTTCAACAAGTTGTGAAAAGTAAAAATTAAGCTGCAAGGGAGAATAAAAAAAGGAGACCTAAAAACATTTCCTGCTTTGGCTGATAGCTACTTAGCTTACAGAAAGTTTTCATGCTCTAAGTTGAAGAGTCTGAAGCTTAGAAAAATTGCCAAGTGTTGAGGCCACGTCTCTTTTAAGATTTCTCTTTTAGTTCAGATGCTGATTCCAGTCAGGACACAATTCAAGGTTCTAAAAGTAATTCTAAGGCCACAATAAATTGGAGACCCAGAGACTGAAGGAAATAATACACTGCCTTTCGCCAAAAAGTGGATATCCCTGGTGGTTACAATTTCCTACAAATAAAAAGAAAGGTTTTTTTAAAAGAGATTTTCAAGTTGTACTGTTGGAGTTCGAGCCAGGGCTGGATTCTGTCACAGTCTTGAGACTTCAAGACCCTGAAGACTTCACGCAAAGGCATCTTTCTATTTTAAAAACAATGGGAATTTCCCAGCAATTTTTGTTTACAATAAGTTATAACTGAAAATTAACTCTGTGCTCTGAAGTTCTGACAAATAATGATTTTGTGAATGTAATTAAAATATGTCCATAATTAATACAAATGGATAACAACTTTATAACCACAAGACAAAACCTTGACTGAAGTAAAGGGCACTATTGTCTGTTATATTTGACCCAGAAGATCAAATAATGTATGATTTATAAGCTCTTTTGACTTGCAAACATCTCTTTCTCATTCTGCTTTCCCCTCAAATGCTAACTTAAAGATCACAGATTCTCCTTATTTATTTTCTTAAAAAGGCAAGTAAACCATTTTTTTGCAACTCAGTTTTTGGATTGTTGACGCGGAACATGATCCAAAGTGGTCGAGTGGATTCAGTAACTTGGTCACACGTCTATCCCCTTCCAGGAGAATACACTTCTCTCAGAACAGATCTGTTAGAGAAAGTTGCTTGT